CTATCGCCAGAAACCATTGTAAAAAGGTTTTGTCTGACGCCAAAGCTCGCTATTCTCAGGTCATAAAATCTCGTATCTCATCACAAAAATTAGGCTCTCGAGACTTCTGGAGAATCTTTAACAGTATCAATAATAAGGGCAAATCTGTTATTCCTTCTCTCTTGTATGGTTCAGACTTTGTCACCTCACCTAAAGACAAAGCTGAATTGTTTGCTAAGAACTTTTCATCAATATCATCTCTTGATTCAACTAGTTGCGTTCTACCTGACATAGTCGTCAAACAGGTTGATCCCTTGCTTGACATTCGCATCACTCCAGCTTCTGTATCAAAAGTAATTTCCTGCTTAGACTCTTCAACAGCTTGTGGTCCTGACAACATTCCTGTTGTAGTCTTGCAGAAGTGTTCTCCGGAGCTTTCATCCATACTTTCAAAACTATTTAACAAGTGCTTATCGGAGTCCTGTTTTCCATCATGCTGGAAAGCAGCATCTGTTATCCCTATTTTCAAAAATTCCGGAGAGCGATCTGATTCATTTAACTACCGTCCCATTAGTCTTCTTCCTGTCATAAGCAAAGTTTTTGAATCTTTAATCAACAAACACTTAATCTCTCATCTTGAATCTCATAACCTACTTTCTGATCATCAATATGGATTTCAATCTTCTCGTTCTACAGCTGATTTGCTAACAGTAATAACCGATAGGTTCTACCGTGCATTAGATAGAGGTGGAGAGGTTAAGGCTATCGCACTTGACATTTCTAAAGCTTTTGATAAAGTTTGGCATGCTGCTCTTCTCCATAAGCTTTCTTCTTATGGTGTATCTGGTAATATCTTTAAGATTATTGAGTCCTTTCTTTCCAATCGTAGTATAAAAGTTGTCCTCGATGGTCAACACTCTTCTTCATATCCTGTAACTTCAGGGGTTCCTCAAGGTTCAATCCTTGGCCCTATACTCTTTTTAATTTACATTAACAATCTCCCAGATATTCTCACATCTAAGGTGGCATTATTCGCTGATGACACTACCATTTACTCTTGTCATGATAAGAAGCCTACACTCTCTGATTGCCTGGAGGGGGTATCTAAGCTTGAAAAGGATCTCACTTCTGCTACAGCATGGGGCTCACAGTGGCTGGTGAACTTTAATTCAGATAAAACTCAATTTTTTTCGGCCAATCGTTATCGTAATAATTTAGATCTTCCTATATTTATGAATGGTAATGTACTAGATGAGTCATCTACCATTCATCTTCTAAGATTAACTCTTACTTCTGATCTTTTTTTTAATCGTATATCAAATCCATTGCAAAATTAGCATTTGCTAAGGTTGCATCTCTTTATCGAGCTCAACACTTTCTTACTCCAGATTCTATTCTCTATCTCTATAAATCTCAAATCCGTCCCTGTATGGAATACTGTTGCCGTATCTGGGGCGGATCTTCTAATGATGCCCTTTCTCTTTTAGACAAGGTGCAAAAACGCATTGTAAACATAGTTGGACCTGCTCTGGCAGCCAATCTCCAACCTTTGTCACATCGTCGTGATGTTGCTTAACTTTCTCTTTTCTACAAATACTATAATGGGCACTGCTCTAAAGAGCTAGCATCCCTTGTGCCATCTACTAAAATTCATTCTCGTGTTACTCGCAATTCAATTAAGTCTCATCCTTTTTCTGTGACTGTTCCTAAGTGCTTCAAAAACTTATATTCTTCTAGTTTTTTTCCTCAAACATCAGTTCTTTGGAATTCGCTTCCTTCATCTTGCTTCCCTGATTCATATAATTTGCAATCATTTAAGTCATCAGTCAATCGTTATCTTGCTCTACAGATTTAGTATTTTCTCTTCCAGTAACTTCCAACTCTTATAGTGGTTGCTTGCAGCCTTGTTGAAAGTGAAGATGTTTAAAAAAAAAATAAATAAATAAATAAATAAATAAGTGCTCGACTGAATCTTGTTTTTTAAACTGCTGGAAAATGACATCTGTAGTTTCAATTTTTAAAAAACCAAACTTAATAACTCAGTGTCATTTCTATATTAATAAATAGTAACCCTCTTACTGAGTCCTCTTCTTTGAGTCTTCTTGGATTATTGTTAACTACTGATCCCTCATGGAAACTATATAAACAATCAATAGCTAAATCAGCATCTGCTACGATTGCTTCTTTTTATTGTGTTTGCCATTTTCTTACTCCTGGTTATATTCTCTACCTCTACAAATCTCTAATTTACCCCTGTATGAAATACTTTTATCATATTTAAGCTGGTTCATCAAATTGACTTCTCGACAACATCCAAAAAGGCATTGTAAATGCAATTAGACCTGCTCTATCTGCCAAGTTTCAACTCTTTCCCATTGTCATAAAGTTGCATCTCTTTCTCTTTTCTACAAATATTATCATGGTCCCTGATCAAAAGAACTGCCATCTATACCTTCATTCTTTAGAACTCATTCTCAGTTGACTAGTTATTTAGGAAAGTCTCATTATTTTACTGTATTTGACCCTGTATGCTGTATTATTATTTGTGAAGTTTTTTTCCCTGCACTTCAACCCTTTGGAACTCTCCTCCATCTTCATGTTTTCCTGACTTAGACAACCTTCAATATTACAAGTCTTCTGCAAAAGAAGGTCCAACTATGCTTACAATGCATTTTTGCACCTTGTCTAAAAGAGAAAGGGAATCATTGGATGCTAATTTTGCAATCAATTTGATATATGGTTTCCAAGCAAGATCGGAAGTAAGAGTTCATCCTAGAGGATGAAGGGTTGATGACTCATCAAGTACAATACCGTTCATAAATGTAGGAAGATCTAAATTATTGCGGTAACAATTGGCTGAAAAAATTGGGTTTAATCTGAAATAAAGTTCACCACTGTGAACTTTATTTCAGATCAAACCCAATTCACTTGCCACTGTGAGCCCCATGCTGTAGTAGAAGTGAGATCCTTTTCAAGCTCAAATGCCCTCTGCAAGCAATCAGAGAGTGTTAGTTTCTTATCAAGACAAGAATAAATGGTAGTATCATCAGCAACCAATGCCGTCTTACATGTGAGAATATCTGGAAGATTGTTAATGTAAATTAAAATAGAGTATAGGACCAAGGATTGAACTTTGAGGAACCCCTAAAGTTACAGAATATGAAGAGGAGTGCTGTTTATTGATGACAACTTCTATACTACAATTGTAAAAAAAAGATTCAATAATCTTAAATATGTTACCTGATACACTGTAAGAAGAAAATATTTAAATATATATATATATTTATAAATTTTTTATAATTACTTTGTTGTAAAAGCCAGCCAAAATCATGACACAATTATACATATTTTGTGATTATTAAAGTTTGCAGGAAGAGAAAAAATAAAGGCAGTATGTTGCGGTTTTTTGCTTTATATTAAGTTCATATGGTTCAATAGAGTTGTTCGTTTCATTTTTAATTTACATTTAGTTATGGTTTAACTCTTTCATTACAGCAAGCCACTGGTAGCGACTTTCAAGTATGCTTTACAATTTATCTTGTTTTGTACATAAATTTCCATTCTAGACACATAGAATTTGTTTTTTCTGAAAGTTTAATTAATTCTCTACATAATCAAGAAAAAATAAGAGCTATATTGTGTAATTATAAAAAGTTATCACCAAGTTAAAAAATCTTGAATAATCCTTCATAAAAAAACTTTAAATTTAGTTATAAAATAAAACAGCGTTAACACTGTAAAACGTAACTTGTAGAAGTGTTAAGTATTTAGTTAAGTAATTACCAAAGTATTTTGAAGAAAAAATATTATTTTTATTCATTAAATGAGGTTTGTTTTGGACTTAATGTTATAGTTACTACTTACAAAAACAATAGTTTTAAGCACTTTGCATTTATTATTGTTTAATGATGCGTGTTAAAAACTTTATTATTATGGAATTTTAACTAATTGTCAATGTTATGCTATTCATATCTTATTCAAAAATATGTGCGGTTGCTACAAAAAGATTTTTGTTCGGCTGGTAGCGAACAATTTAATGCAATTCTTTGTTTTTGTATTTATATTTTATACACTTTCTTGTATATTTTAGTACAAATACTTGTTTTAACTTTAATTTAGTTTGATTTGAATGGTTATGAGTAAAATAAGTCGTTTAATATTTATTTTCTACTTAGTTCAGTTTATATGTTTTATTCAAGTCACTCGTTTTTTTTTTTTCAGTTTATACTTTAAATTAATTTATACACTTTTGTAAAATTATTCTTTATGTATCTAGCTCAAATTTAGTTTAAACCACTATATTTACTGTAAATATTCGTTATATATTAAGTTTTTATTTTTATAAATTTTATAAATTTAATTTTTAATTGCATCATAAACTTTTTGGGGGATTTAGTAAAAAGTTATACAATTAACATGATTTGGTGATTTTGGCAAGAAAATAATACGGCATCTTGAAAGAAAAAATTTATATGCTGGCGTCATATACTGAAACTGTTATGAATTAAACACGCATGGAATAAATTATCAAGTCTGCAGATTGTGGCTAACATTATACAGACTCCGAGAACCAAAAAAAAATGAAGACGGCGAGCTTTGACTAAAATGTGAATTTTAAATTAAACTCATTATATAGTTTTAATCAAAAAAATTTAGCCCAAATTTTTTTTTTTTACATTTTCTTTAATGTGAACACAACTTGTCTTGGCAGTTGGGGATCCCTTTAATAACATTACAAAATTATACTTTACAACATTAGTCAATAAGTATTGAGTGAAGCATCAAAAAAATCATTTATGTTCAATATTATTAAAAACAATAATTAATTTAATATATAATAAAAATATTGTACTGAGAAATTAAAAATTTTCGCTAAATGTGTAGTTTAAAAGAAATTTTAACAATTTACAATTTAAAAAAAAATGGATTACTTTTTGTTTTATATTAAAATACTATTAAAAATAGAAAATTATTAAAAATAGAAAATAACAAAATCTGCAAGTTTTCAACTTTTAACTTACTTATAACATCATCAATCCATTTCTTTTGGTTATAATATTGCATTATACCAGATACACTGTTTAAAAAGACTAACCCAATAACAACCCAGTACATAAAGTTAGATAACATGAATGTCTTTAACTTTGTTCGAATAACAGTATTTCTTGCAATAAAAACTTGCAGACCAGTAAGACTAAAAAAATCAGTTATTTAGACATTTTTTTTTAATGATGATTAATTAAATAAAGTTTGATTATTTAATTCTCATTTAACTTATTATAAAGCCATGGACATGGATAGAACAAACATATTAACAACACAGCATGTTTATTTATTTATTTCTATTTATTTTATAATTATTTATTTAAAATTGCATAGCATATAAATAAATTTTACGATTTTTTCTTCATAATTTATTTAGAGTATTATTCACTCAAGTTAAAAATGGAGATGTACCGTTAATGTTACTTATGAAGGTATAAGTTTTTAATACCATCTCAAAGTATATGTAAATATATATTAGTATTAAAAGTTACAATTATTAAAATTTTTGAGCAATATAAAAAGAAGCAACCTTATTAGGTGTTAATTTTGATACGAATCGGATATATGGTTTTTATGAGAGTTCAGAGTTGAATAAAATTTCAGTAAGAGTCATATCATTCATCAATATAAAAATTTATACAATATAAGAATGGAGATATTGGTTACCAATTATATAATATTAGAATGGAGATATTGGTTAGAAAATAAGAGACAAAACTGGAATATATGGTCATATTATTAGCTAAAATAGGGAGAATCAAATTGTAAAAGTTAAAAATTTAAGACAGATGAGAAACGACGGAAGGGCCCTTGCGGTACTCCAAAGGTTATTAGAAAAAAGAAAAATGCTTTTTGTAAAAGACAACTTTGAGAATGGGATAAGAAAAAAAAGATTCAATAAAGACTATTTGAGATATATTATATAAAAAAACCTTTAGGAAGTCTTATATATATAGCAAAAACAATGACCATTGCCTCATCATATCGATCTAAGGCACAATAAAACCCTTTTATTATTAAGATTAACAAAGCAGAATTAGAGCAAAAAGATGCATCTAAAACCAGAAACTAAATGTTTGTTTAAAGAATAATTTAAAAGAATGCTTATTTAAGAATAGTTTAAAAGAATATTTATTTGAAATAACTTTGCTATTTAAAATAAAAAACCATTTAATTAAAATTAATAAATTAGAATGTCTAACAACAAATTATCTATCTTAGTCAGAAGAAGAGTTGTCAAATAGTTCTATTTTAATTAGAAGAATTAAAGTTCTTCCAATAAAATTAGATTTGCTCTATTTAAAATTAAATAAAATTAGATTTGCTCTATATAAAATTAGATTTGCTCTATTTTAAACATTTCATATAATTTGGGTTTAAATAGTTTTAAATAGTATTAAAGTGTGCTCTTAATCACTGTACAATAAAAATAAATAGTATGCTATTTAGTTAAATAAACACATATAAAAAACATACGGAGGTTCAACAATTTCTCCCTGGTCTTCTAGCTCTTCTTGTTTTTTTACTATCATAAAAAAAAATTATTTTAAAAATTTGATGCAAATAAGATATAATCATGAGTAACAAATATTCAACACTTACATTTTTCTTCTTGCTCTCTAGCAGCAGCAAGTTCGCCTTCATCTATCCACCCATCATACTTTTCTAATGCTCTCTCAGCAGCTAATTCTGCACGCTGTCTTAAAAACTCATCCCGATTCGCAACACGCTCATTTTCTTTACTGAACTCTCTAAAAACATTAAACAGATTAAACTAAATTTGTTTAAACTATTTTCTAACTTAAAAAAAAAAACATATCATTATTATAATTTATACTATTATTTCATTATTTTTTATATTTATTATTACCAAATAACATTATTTAAATTTGGCATTTAAACTTTTAAAGCCAGTATGATCAGATACCATACGATGAGATACACTGATATCTTCTTTTACCAGTACACCAACAGTATGATAAGATACACTAATATCTTCTTTTACCAGCACACCAACAATATTAAAATTTATGAACTTTAAATATTTTTTTTAAACACTTAAAGTTTTATATGAAATGAACTAATTTTTTATTTTTTTAAATTTTTTCCTATTGATTTTATATTTTGACTACATTAAAAAATAGAACTTTCAATTCAGTCATTTTCAAACTTGGAAATGCAAATTTTTATACATTTTCTGGTGCTAGAGATAACTTCCAGAAATAAAAAAGCAAAATGCTAAACTTTTATTTATGTCTCCACTAATGTTAAATAAGGATGCTTTGCAAAAAATTGTAACGATTGAGCCAGAGAAAAAAAAAGTCAAAATTTTCACCTATTTCTCCCTGCCTCAAACAAGAAAGTAAAACGTTGATAAAAAAATTTATTTTAACTGATCTTATCTAAATATATAGAGACAAGTTTTTCTCCATTGTTTGATTATTCAATTATTGCAATAAATATATATTTTTTTCAGAACAAAAATAAAAAATTTTTATTGTCTTTCTTTACATTTATTTATTTATTAAAAAATAAATTTCTTATTGTTTGTGCTTATGATATTTAAAGTTGATTTAATTGCAATCATTATAAAATGCTTATAAGTATCTTGGAGTTCAATTTTAAATTTTATGTCAATGAAAATAACTTGATAAAATAAAAACAACAGAAATGAGCTCTTTAAGCTTAGCTCCAGCTACTTTAATCTAGTTATTGAAAAAAAATAATAATAATAATAAAGATAGATTTAAAAAGAAGCTGAAATAAATTTAATTTTTTTTTATGCTTTTCACCTCCCCAAGGCCAAGAAAGCCAGTACAGTTGAGGAGGCTACTTTATTTTGATTACAATCCTCTCTGAATTCTTCAACCCTAAAACATGATACTTAAAGAACAAGTCTGCTGCGAAAAGAAACATGTTGAGTTTAGTACTACCAGAGACATGATATGGGATCAGACTCAGAACTTCACATTTTTACAGCTAACACTCTACCACTACACCATTTTTTTATATTTGATGTTTTTTCTATAAAAAAAGGATTTTAAATCAAATTTAAAATCAAATTATAATACAATTAATAAAGTTAGGTTCATAATCACATTAACAACCTAAAAGAGGTTGCGTATATTAAGTTTTTATTTACTTATATGTACAAAATTTGGCTTAAAAAAACTTGCTTCTCAATTTTGCCTTTGTGCCTTGTACATAATTGTAACATAAATTTTAGATTATTTTGAGCATATTTAGAGGTAGATATTTTTAATAAGATTTCATTCAGAGTTTTAAGTAGTATCTCTTTTTTTGACATTTCAACAAAAAATGCAGTAAAATAAAAAGAAAACTAACAAAGAAAAAAATGAAAATAAAAAATTTCTGGTAATTCACCAAAAAGATCTAATGAGTTGAAACATGACAAGTGTTAATAAGTTAATAAATAAGTGTTGATAAGTTAATAAGTCAATAAATAAATAGTTGTTAAAGAAACTCAAAAACAAAGCAAATTACTGTATTGTGTTCTGACACAACATCTAGTAACACTCGCAAAAATAAAGGTGCCATAAGCATTTTTATTTCATATTCCCTTATAGAACCAGTTCTCTGGTTAATGTGACATCACATCTATGAAAGGCACATGGCTTATGTAATGAAAGAAATTTTTGGTCCAACAAGTAGTCCCATTAAAATTTTTTAATTCTCCAAAAACTATGGCCACAAATTTACGAAGATGTAAACAAACTTGAGAGAATTGTAAAGTTTGACTGGTCTCAAAGCAAAAACAAAACACCTCTGGAAAGACAAGAGAGCAGCTCTGCTGAATTAAGTGTTATAGTACAACAACCTCCATCCTTGTCTTAAGTTTGATAATAATGTAAGGTAATAGTTTCAGCTCTTTGAATTAATTGGATAATGACTACCTTGCTCTATTCACCAAAACATGCAATAGTGAGTCACATTCAAAGAGGTTAACTAAAAAACTTTGCTTAGCAGTGATATAACATCACCTTTACATCTTGTTAATATACCAGATCATTGAGCACTGTTTGTATTAGAAAAAGTTGCTAAAAATCTACATCATTCACAAACTTTTAATTTCTTGCATTAAGATATGCTCCACACACTGCAGAAATCAAAAAACTGTAATAGTTATTATAGATGATTGACAGATGATGATGATTGACAGACCTTGTAAGAGTAGGTAGCAAGAAAAAATCACTTTCCAAAACCACTGCAATATACAACAGATGCATAACTAAAGATAAGGAACAAAAACAATATTATTTTGCCTTGTGGATCTTAATAGAAAGGAGTTTTGGAAAGCTTCTAAATCCATATATTTATGAAGTAGAGAAGTAGCTGCATGAATATGATTCTTTTTTAAACCTTAAAAATAACAAATGCTTATGAAAGATGAAAGAAGGAAAGTTAATTAAAAAATTAGATGACATTAGTTATTTAATTCTTCATGCAAAATTTCTTCAATTCTTCAAACTATAGTTATAGGTTATATATATATATATATATATATATATATATATATATATATATATATATATATATATATATATATATATATATATATATATATATATATATATATATATATATATATATATATATGTATATATATATATAGATATATAATATATATATATATATGTATATCTATATATATCTATATATATATATATATATATCTATATATATATATATATATATCTATATCTATATATATATATATATATATATATATATATATATATATATATGTATATATATATATATATATATATATATATATAATATATATATATATATATATATATATATATATATATATATATATATATATATATATATATATATATATATATATATATATATATATATATATATATATATATATATATGTATATTAGGGTGTCTCAAAAATATATCATACATTGAATTTCGATATGGGGAATACTGCATTTGGCATCATTTGGTCCATAAACACCAATAAAAAAAAATAAGTCTACTAGCTAAAGCAAAAGGTTATTTAAGTGAATTTACTTTTATTTTATTAAGTAAAATTTGACTTAAATATGACTTTATTCATATTATTCAGATTAAAACTGTTACCTAAATAAACAAAAAGTTAATGGTGCATGTCAAACAAATAAATATGGTTGTTGTAAAATCTTTAAGTGAATTTTTTTTACAAAATGTATCATCAATTTTAAGGATAAATTTGTTTTTAATGCAACAAAATAAATATTTTAGCAAATAATTTTAAGAGCATGCGTGGATGCAGCAATGAACAAAAAAGCCCTAAAATTTTAGCTACACCTGCGCTAAGCATAAAAGCAACAAGTTGATAAATTATTTTTTTTACCATTTTTAAATAAATTTATATTCATCGACAAAATTTAAAACTCATTCAATAATCTTTTAGCATTCAAAAAGTAAAAAGTTTGAATTGCCCCCTCCCCCTCAATTTAATAGGGTTAGTCATTTATCTTAAACATCAAAAAATGCTGTATCCGCTTCTGGAATGTCAAGGTTTTAACCTCAAATCAATCTTTTAACTTTATTCTAATAAATAAAAAAATAAGTTTAGAGATATAATTCATCATTTACTTTAAACCAAAATAGTATTATACTCTAATAATATATCATATTATAATATTGTAATACAACATAAACCAATATTATTAATACAAGTAATATTAAACTAAATAATTTTAAAATCTTTATTTGTAGCGCTCTTTGTTCTTTTGCCAGTTCCTTTGAACTACCTAAATTACAAATATAAATTTATAAAAAGTACTACTTATACATCAACGAACATTATTATTATTAACAACTAAAAATCCCATTTATATTTCGTGTTATTGAACAAATTACCTAGAAAGTATCCTGAAGCTTGTCTTCATTATGTGTTCTCTCAATGAGATCTTGAATTAACTTAATGTGACATTTTGCTCAATCATATACAACTGCAAGTGTTCTTACATAAATTGAAAAGTAGGTAAAAAACTGGGAAACTTCCTCATTTACACACGCTTCAATGCTTTTTTCTTTCCATAAGAGAAGTTCCTTCTTGGAGATCTCAAATAGCAAGAACAAAAGGTGGACTGTTTACTTTGATGTAAAAATAATTCTTCTTATTTTCATGTAAAAATACTTTTAATCTCAGTTTCAGACCTCTTTTTAATCAGACCTTTTAACTCTGGGAAAGTTCTGGGAAATGAGTTCTTGTTTAACATATAAGTCTTAACTTCTGTTTTCAGATCCTTATCAGCAAGAGCAAAAATTACTAGTTATAGTGACAGATACCAAGTATAACGCAGAAGACTCTGGTAAAAAAACATATTGCTGCATATTCTTTAAACTTGTCTACTGCTTGTAGCTTAAAAACAATATTAAACGCCATTAAATCATTTGAAGGTGCTTGAGAAACATTAGAGCTTTTTAGAAAGAAGAATCAAGAAAAAATACAATGTAGTTGGTTGCAGCTTTTAGATGGTTTAATGTATTTTTTCTAACTGTCTAAGAATTAGCAGGGTGGTACATTTGAGCCATTTGAATAACCAGTATGTATATACAGCTATAAATCTTGCTTCATGATGAGCTCCAGGCTGTTTAAATAAGAAGTTCGATAACTCAGCCTAGAAAAAATGCCAAGAGCTCACAAAGATACTTGTAATCATCTCTCTGGAAAGTATTCCTATGAAGAGCTGTGATACAGAACTCTTTAGTATCCAAGCCAAGTTTGAACAGTAATGAGCCAGGCCTAAAGGCATCTTGAGACCAGTCAAAATTTACAATTCTATCAAGTTTGTTTACATCTTCGTAAATTTTTGGCCATAGTTTTTGGAGAATTACATAAAGTTTTATGATTGGACCACTTGTTGGACCAAAAATTTTTTTCAGTACATAAGAAACATGCTTTTCATAGATGTGATGTCACATTAACCAGAGAACTAGTTCTTTAAGGGAATAGGAAATAATAATGCTTATGGCACCTTTATTTTTGGAATGTTACTATATGTTGTGTCAGAACACAATATGATAATCTGATCAGACATCTCATAGTATTCAAGAATTGTTTGAATTGCAACGACTTGATCACTTCCCTTAAAGCTTTCAATTTTTAAGATGCCAAGAAGAAAGTCTAGTGGACCAGACTCTGGCGAAGATGAGGTAATGGCAATTCTATCCTCATATTTAGATATTTTTTCCGAATTGTATCTCTTCAAAATCTTAGCATCGAAATGTACTACCCTCTTATTTTATCTATATTTTCCTAATTATCTGTGCCTCATACTCCACAACATAATGAGTTTTCCTGTTTAGAGTTGATCTTGATATCAACATATTAATAATATTAACTTCACCAGCCTTGTAAAGAGAATACAAGAGACACATATCTGGCCTGACTCCAATTACAAATTTTTTCATTATTGGAATCCAATTGTGAAGAATGTTTTCCGTACTTAACTGAAGGAAAACTTTGATATCACTCTGAAATCTTTTATGTTTTTTCTGAACTTAAGCTGGAGGAAAATATTGTTCACCATATTCAGTTTTATTGTAACTATCTTAAAAAGTTACCAACGGAATAGTTACTTTCCTTTTTCTTATTTTTGTCTTTAAATTTTCTCAGACATTTCAATTTTTTTTTCTTATGCCTTGTGAGCATTTTTACAAAATTATTGTCCATGTTCCTAAATTCAACTATACCCCCTCTCAGACAATATTTAAAAGTATTTTATGTCTTCCCTCTTAGCCTCATCATCCCTATGTTTGTCACTTTTAAATCAAATATGTTTGTTTTATAAATAGAGAAGAGAACACACCTCTTTTTCAAAAAAGTGTTCACCTACTTTTTGTAGATACCCTTTGGAAGTTCAAGTGTTTTTAATATTTTAAAAGTGTGGTATTCCTTGACTTTCTTAGTGATTCTTGCCTTGGTAGTTTGCTCAATCACAATGAAAACATCATTAAACCCAGCCTGCTCCCATAAACTAATAAGCTTCCTCAGAGTACAGGTAATTATATAAATACATCTTACTGGAAGCAGCTGGAAGGTGCTGCAGTGGCCTGGGAACTCACCATACTTGAATCCAAAAGAAAGTTTTTTACTGGTTCTTAAGTGGTAAGTGAAACAAAAAGCATCACACACAATACAAGATTTAGTTTACTGGATTACCTGAGTTTAGTATACTGAGATTAATAAAAAACGTCAAAAACTAGTCAATTCTATGCCAAAACATAACAAATTGGTGCTTAAAAACAAAGGACATTTAACTAAAGATTAATTTATAGAATTTTGTATTTTTTTAGACTCTGTGTATGAATAAAAATTGTTTTTTTTTTCATATTTTTGGTATATAACTAATATATATATATATATATATATATATATATATATATATATATATATATATATATATATATATATATATATATATATATATCACACCCCATGTCATTACAGGGTGTTTATCATCAAAAATGTTGTGATTTATACCATCACAACATTTTTGATGTTGTGATGGTATAAATCACAAAGATAAACTAGCCTGCTGATTTATCTTTGTAAAACTTAAAAAAGATTATATGGGTCACCATAAAATCTACTGTCAGTTGCCCTGCTGGGCTACTGACTTGTAATTTTTTTTAAATTTTAGTTTGTCATGGTGGAGTTAGCACAAAAAAAAATTTGATTTTTATTACACTCAGTTTATATTCAAATTAAAAAAATTTTTACTAAAAGCTAATTATATTCTCGGAATGCTTAAAAGAACTTTTAATTATTGGAATGTAAAATCATTCAAGATTTTGTACACATCATTTGTAAGACCTCATCTTAAAACATTTTCTTCAGCATGGAATCCTTACAGAAAAAAAGACATAGAAAATCTTGAAAGAATACAAAGACAAGCTACTAAGCTTGTGGCTGTTTTGTGTAAACTAAACTATAAATCGAGACTCAAATTTCTTGGTTTAAAGAACGAAGAATTCGGGAAATGTTAATTGATTATTCTAAAATCTCCAACAGCATTATAAAAGTAAATTGGCAAGTCCCAATATATCAGTCGTACTGGCATCAGCTCCAAGGTCCTGCAGGAGCAATTAGAAATAATCAACACCCCATCATCAAGAAACCAAGATAAACATTAGCCAAAGTGAAACATTCTTTACTAATAGAATCGTTTCACACTGGAATCAACTTCCCAGAGAAGTTGTTGAGGCTGATAATGTTTTCCAATTTATAAACAAACTTGATAAACATTATTCTAATAGGTGACAAATTATTGCAAATCAATTGGACTGCCATAGTCTACAAATTATTTGTTAGATTCACAGAATATTTCTGTAGCAGTTGTATCTATAATAAATAAATAAACCTTTTGAGTTAACTTGTATTGTTATAAAACAAGATAGATCAGCAAGACAATCCTTAAAAATTTTATTTTCACAGACCGAATATTTGCCATACTTTATAAAAATTAACTACTAAGCTACTAAATAGACTGAGGTTCTATATACATAAGTTTGATGTTATTTTCATTTTTAAAAACATGGAAAGGTATGATAAAGGTCTAATATTTAATGCAATAAAAATTCTTTAAAAAATGAACAAGATTGTGGTAGCCATTAGTAGTTTTACCAGACTGAAATTTACCTTTTTACTTGATTCATATTGAAAGGTTTATGTAACTTTTTTTCTAACTATTCATTGAAGAAATAGTGAATCTAACAATAATTTTTGTTTAAAAAAATTAACCAATTATTCTTTAATTGAAAATTCCAATTTTCAATTAAGAATTTCTGGTAATAATTTGATAAATTGAAAAAACGTTTTTTTTCTGTTAATTTTGGTTTATCATAGAGAGATTTAGCAAGATTTGATTTGATGTATAAGAAATGAAATATTAGATTTGCCTTAGTTAATTAAAATATTTCAAAAAGTTTCAAATAGCATGGCTAACATATAACATGTTTAAAACTAAATAGAAGAGGCTTTTAGGCTGAGATTTTTTTAGGCGAAGGCTAGAAGATGCCAAATCTGACTTAACACAACCCCCTGCCTTGGGGCTCTTGGTTGAGTAAAGGCTAGAAATGGTGTCTCAATGAAAATACTCATCTTGGGCAGACATTAAATGCATCTGGCACCTTTCTTGCAGAAGGCCTCCTAGGCAAAGATTTAAGGGATAAACAGATTCTATCTGCTAATCAGCTTCGCACCCCTTCCTCATCTATTACGCTAGGTAGATGTATTTATAATACATTGCTTACAGTTTAGGATGTTGAATGCTGGATCTTCCTGACTCATTGCATAGGTTTTGCTAGTATCTCTGCTTTTATGACTAGGTAATTCTCTAATTACTTAGAGGGGACATTTGAGGTGTGAACAATGTGAACAAACAAAAAAAAGTAAGAACATGATTTTACAACAAAAAAGAGTAATTTGATACTTTGATGCATATTTAGATTTATTAATTTAATCGATAATTGGTCAAAATCATAGACTATTTAGTCATTAATCAATGACTATTTAGAAATTATATGACTAATATCTGATCTTAACCAAATATTGCCTAAATTTTTCAATTAAAATTTGCACCTAAGTAAATGTTTACATGTAAGCATATATGCATGTAAGCAAATGTAAGCATGAAAAGCTTGACATTAATGCATTATCAAGCAGGCAACTAGCATTATATAAACTTCAAACTGTAAAAATATTACAAATTAATGGTTTTAATAAGTGCCAGTACCAAATATAACTTACCCACTAAGTACACCACAAACTAAGTTAAGCATAAACTGCGCACCAACTACATTAAGTGAATAAAAGTAAATCCAAGTAAACCGCCCCTTGTAATCATATACTTTAAAAACCTAAACAAAAAAAATCAACTTTTATGAAGTAATTTTTTTTTAACAAAGTCAGTTCTGACTAGGCTCCTTGCAATCACTAATAATTTTCAGAGAAAAAAAATGAAAAAAAAAAACGAAAACAAAAAAGAAAAAAAAAAACAAAGAACAAAAAAAAAGAATTTTAAAAAAGATACACAAAGAAAAAATTGAAAAAATGTAAAGAGATGAAGGGAGACAATTCCAAGTACTGATGTTCAAAAAAAAAAAAAGTAAGAAACAGTTACAGTAAAAAAAGGATGTAACTTAGGTAATAAGTCGCAAGATTGAAAATTGGTTGAGGAAACAAAAGGTGATCTCAAGCTTACTAGAGCAGCAACTATGGTAGTATTTGTAGAAAGAGATAAGAAGCTTAAGCTTCTCAGCTAGAGCAGGTCCAACAACATTTACAATGCATTATTGATCTTGCCTGAAAGAGAAAGGTCAAATTAAAAAAACCAGGCTAAAAATGAAAATAGTAGAAGAAGTTTGTGTGCCTAGGGCCTCCTTGTACCTAGAGCCCTCCCCCCTCCCCCTCCCCCCCCCTCCCCACACACACACATTTAATTGTTTCACAATCCTAGAGAAAATGCTTTTCTATAAGTTCTTGCATATAATATTGTTTGTTACTTAAGAACTAAATGCAATGGTCAATAAGTTTCCTCTTAATCGGGATTTGTTAATAGATGTTATTTTTCATAAGGCTATTATTTCTTGTAAGCTAGGGCCATATGTGTGTAAAAATTTGATTGATAACAAGGTAGATTGTTGAGTTTTGATTGATACAGAACTTTTTTTCCTTGCCATTGTTTTGAGACTACCATTATATGGGTAGATTTGTTTGTCAACTTTGTTGAGAACTATTTGTCAATTTTTTTATTTCTTTAGGTGTTGAAATCAAGTAACATTTAATAAATTTGTTGAAAACAATGTAAGATTAAATAAATTTTTAATCAAATTTATGTGTCTTTGCTTTTAATTTAATATGGAGTTAAACCTATAGTTTTCAGAGAGCGGCCTTTGGTAAAAATACAGTACAATCTCTCTAATTCGAATTTTATGGACAAAAATAAAAGTTTTAATTAAATTTTAAAATTAAAGTTCTAATAAAGAGAAATTTTTGAATTATAGAAAGTTGACTTCTTTTCAAATATTATTTTTAAAGTAACGAATAGAAATTAAACAAACAAAGAAATAGTAATTCTTAGGCCTAAAAGCAATATATGTTATGTGTTTTAAACTTTTAAATTTGAAAAAAAAAGTCAGTAATAGTAGATTGTCTTTTATGAGCAAGTAAATTATGTCAAAGACATGATTTATATCTTTAAGAGCCTTTGTCAAATTATCTCCAAATTAGTTTGCTTTTTCCTAAATTAGTCTAGCAATCCTTCCGAAGTTTGAAAATTTTTGAAGCATAACTCTATTGCAAAGTATAAAGCTTTTTATTTTACCAGCAATCCACTAATTGGTACATTATCAGCTCTCGTTTGTTTAAACCATTTAAGTACAGCTTTGTTTACTAGGTAATACAAATCATCTTTCACCCATTTAATCAAATTTCCTTGACAAAAAGCGCCAAAGATTGTAACTTTATTCTATTTCCAGGTTGAAAGAGTGTTTGGTGGAATATCAAAAATTTTTGAAACCTCTTTATTTGCTTTTCCTTTCTTCAATTCCATTAGAGTTTTTTATTTCCGCTTAAAATTGTTTTTTTTTTAAAGAAAACAATTTAAAGCGAAAATAAAAAACTCTAATGGAATTGAAGAAAGGAAAAGCAAATAAAGAGGTTTCAAAAATTTTTGATATTCCACCAAACACTCTTACAACCTGAAAAAAGATTTAAGTTATAATCTTTGACGCTTTTTGTCAAGGAAATTTGACTAAATGGGTAAAAGTTGATTCATATTACCTAGTAAACAAAGCTGTACTTAAATGATTCAAACAAATGAGAGCAGATAATGTACGAATTAATGGCTTGCTGGTAAAATAAAAGGCTTTATATTTTATGATAGAGTTATGCTTCAAAAATTTTCAAGCTTCGGAAAGATGGCTAGACTAATTTAGGAAAAAGCAAACTAATTTGGAGATAATTTGACAAAGGCTCCTAAAGATATAAATCATGTCTTTGATCAAAGACACATATACTGTCTTTCATCAGAGAGACATAATCATGTCTTTCATCAAAGAAAAGTGTCAAAGATCGTGAAAGTGATCAAAGATTGTGAAAATGATCAAAGAGACATAATTGTATCTTTCATCAAAGAGAGATTAATGTCTCTTTGATGCCAATGATTTTTTTTAAACAGAAGAAGAAAATTTACACTAATCATTTTTCAATAACTCACAACATTCAAAATTTGAAAAAAGATTTTGATGGTTTAATGAACTTTTTAAATGTTAGTTAAAAAAAGTTAAAAAAGCTCAATATACAGAGAGAATCTTGCTGACGGGTCTAAAAAATCCATTAGAATTGTGGAGGTTTTCAAATTATTGAGATTTGAATTATAGAAAGTTAAACGTAAGAGTTTCTTAAGCGCATTTCATAGTGACTTTGCATTTAATTGAACTATGGAGGTTTTTAAATTAAGGAGATTCAAATTAGAGAGATTGTACTGTATAAAAAAGCTTATTGTCCCGAGCCACATATTTTTAAACCCTTCTACAAGACGGACTTTTGACAATTAAGACTTTTATAAATTAAGAATTTTGATTGGCACAGAGTTCTTTTTTTTCTTACAGTTGTTTTGGGATTACTATTTCACGCAGACTTATTTATTAATTTTGCTCAGAACTATTAGTCAATTTTGTTATTTATTTAAGTGTTGCAATCAAGTAACACTAGATAAATTTGTTGATAACAATGTAAGATTAAACAAATTTTTGATCAATTTTATGCATTTATCTTTGTTGATGAACCTAGATAAACCTAATTTTCAGAGATTGGCCCAGGGTACAATAGCTAGTGGCCCTAGGTATCATTAAAAAAGAAATTACTGAACCTTGGACCACTAATTTTTAAACCATTCTACATGACAGAATTTTATAATCTAAGTCTTTGTACCTATATTAATACAAAGTAATTAGTATAGAAATGTGATCATATCAGTTTCACCATTTTCAGACAAGTCTAGGGTCTTGAACTTTGGAATTGAAAAATTTCACCCAGGGTACATAACCTTCCCTTATCTATAAAAACAGGAATAAAAGATTTATAAAAGTAGAAAATGGAATTAGAAGTAAAAAAGTAGAATAAAAACAGGCTATAAAAAAAAAATATCTAGCAGATACAACTTTTCAACTGATTGTGTATATATAGGAGGTTAGTAATGAATGATAGTCTGAAAAGACATAAAGGACTCAGTTTTTGCAAATCATCAAGAAAGAAATATCTACTGCATTAAGTATTAGCAGAAAAGAACTTAGTTTTGTAAGAATTAAAATTTATAAAACTCTGTAAGCCCTAGGATGTCACAAAAGAAAAATTATATTCAAGATTGGCTGACTACTCCAAGCAATTAAAAAGTAATGACTTATTGTCACGACAGGAGTATATATTTGTGTCAATAGAAAATAAAGTTGCTTAAATTAAAGACTCAAAGAGTTTGCTAATAATAGAAAGAAGACTGATGGGATAATAGTTTGAGGGATCAGAATGTTCTTCAGAGTTTTAATAAAATTAAACCATAAATGCCTTTTTCCAGCATGCAGAAAAACAAGATTCAGTTAAGCAGAAAATAATTAGTTTATAGTGTATTAAAGAGAATTCTGGATATCTTGATATCTAACAATGAATTACCCTTTTCTCTGGGATGACAGGAAGAGTGTTGTCATTAGATTCAATAAATAAATTAGAGGGAAAATTATTTGCAAATAGTTCTGCCTTTTGAGAAGTAATGTAATCAGAATTATGTATTAGAGATTGAATGGTAAACTTGCCTTTGTTAATCACACTGTAAAAGATCTTTTAAAGCTCTAGAATATAACTTCTAAGATTTAATATGCAATTTGGTAAACTGAGAATAATGGAGCTAAGAGACAGACAGTCTTAGACTTCATCGAAAGGAGAAGTACAAGATAAATGTTCTAGAGAAATTATGGCATGGTCCAAACAACCAAAAGGGGAATAAGAAGAAACTGAACAAGGAACACAAAAAAAGGTCAGAGGCAAAATGCAAATCAAGAACTAAAGGTAAGTGTGAAGGAAAAGTTAACTTTGTTTTTTGTTTGGAAAATGAAAAACAAAATTAATTTTCTGAAAAAGAAATTGAGATACAAAGAAGATACGAGCTTTAGTGCCAGAAGAATCAGTGGTGTATATATTACATTCAAAATGATTTGAATGTAGTACAGATAGATACATGTAGTACAGAGATATGTCAGGTAAATGTAGAGGGTAACTTAATATCATTAATGAGACTTCTTAGGCTTATTTACTAATAAGCATTTATTTACAACACAACCAATAGCAACCCATTTTACATGTTGCTTAGAGACAGTAGTATAAAATTATAATACAAGTAATCTAATCTCTAATTATCTAACTATAATAACAATAAGTAATTCTAATGACACATTATGTAACTATTTGAAAATTTATTATAGAATTCAAGTAATAATTAAAACCATTAACAATTTACTTCATACCGCATACATAATATCTGTCCACCCTTCACATGTCATACACTGAAACACAGTAATACATCCAAGCAAGATGTTATCAAAGCTTGTAATGCCATTATTTGGACCAGACCATTTCTTTAAACACAATGCACCATTGTCACATTGCCTTCCACTACTATCAGGTATACCACATAATGAAGGATTATCATTATCATATGATGCAACCTCAAAAACTAAAAATATCAACAGTATTAGTTAATAAAAAAATATTTTTTTCATGAAATCAATACTTTAAAAAAAAAATTATTATTTTAAATTATATTATACGATTGTTTGGAACTAAAGAATAATAACTCTTTTTAGTAAAAAATAGTCTAAGCACATCTTAAAAATTAAGAGGTGAAGGTGGTGAAGAGGTTTTCTTTAGTGGGCTGTGTAGACTATCTACATATGGTGGTAACGAGCTGGGGGCAACTTTTAACAAGTAAAAACTACATTTCATTTTATAAGTACATTTTTATAAGCTCTCAATTGCAAGCCTAACTGATCTCTAATATATGGTTCTGATTTTATTATCTTTCCATAAAGTCAAGGGTAAGATAAGACAAAGAATTTTTCCTCTAACTCACCTATCGAACCCAAACACCACAAAAACAAAAAGTTAAAAATATTTGATTATTGAACTAAAGAAAGCTTAGGATTCAGATCATCCCAATCACCCTACTACTTGTAACATAATTCAGTAACATGTAATCAACATTACACCCCTTGCTCATTTATTAGAATGGTGTATATGTAAACTTGTGTTACATTGTTTTCTGGCTAGAATAAATACTGCTGAATCTTTTTACTCTTTACTTTTTTAATAAATTTTTTTTTTTTTTTAGTTTTTTCACCTCTTTATCTTTTACTTTATTTTTTACTTTTTACTCATGAAATGTTTTACTCAAATATCAATGCTTTGGAATTCTCTCCTGTGCTACACATACAATTTACAGATTTTTTTAAATTTTGCTTTTTTACTGTTTGTTTACTCTCGATATAATTAGTAGCTGCTTGCAGCCTTGTTGGAAGTGAATGTTTTAGGAAAAAAGAAATTTTTTAATTTTTCGACAAGTGGTCATATAAAAATTTTTAGTAGTGGGTATTTCTACATCAAATCACCCAATAATTTGGGTGATTTTCTTCAAACCTCTTTTGCTGTTGCATGTTATAAAGAAAAGTTCACACAAAATATTTTGGCCTATATTGTTAAATGGTTCTCAAGATATTTCAATTTTAATATTGAACTAGTTTCCAGATCAAGTAAATTAAATTTGGTTTATAGACTCTTTAGAAGAAAATAAGCGATTCTGTTATATTTCTGAAAGTCTTACATAATTACATTTGAAAATTAATGCTTTTCAATACTAAAGAACACATCCTGTTTTTGTTTTTTTTTAATAAAAACTGACTAAAAAGTGTTATACTGATGTGTATTTGTCTATTAAATTTTGGCAATTCTATAAATAGTTTATAAAAAGTTTAGTTATAGAAACACATTATTTAGCAAAATTTTCTTGGATCTTTAACAAGTTAACAATTTGATATATGTAAATAAAAATTTCAGTTATTTATCAATTCAAAACATCATGTTAAAGAAGAAATCTAAAAGGTTTTGAACTATTTCTACATTAAAACCTTTTACAGCAAAAACTTAAGTAGGAAAGATAAATTTATTTATCTGTTTTAAAAAATACTTCTTTAATATGGTTCATACTAAGTAAATTATTTTATTAGATGTCTTTTATCAGTTTAACGACATCAGAGAGTGTAAGATTAAACTATAAAACTTAACAACATTATATCAAAGACCTACTAAAAATATTTGACAATGACTCATATATAGCAGAAAGCTGGTTGTGAAAATGCTGAAACTTTGATAAAATTAAGAGAGATAAAAGAGAAAATGTTCATTCTGAAAATCGGACTATTGTTCAACTTCTCATACTAGCACAGATAAGTTGGTCAATATCAGAAGTAAAAAAATAACTTTGAAGTTACAGAATACCAGGCAAAATTGGATAGATTTTTAAGGTAAAGTTTTACATAAAGATGTAGAAGATTTGGTTAAAATATTTTATGACTCAAGTGATTTATTTTAAACTATACCTGAAAAAAAAAATTATGTAAGCATTGGAAAAACCATTAATAAATATAAAAACTCCTTTTGTGTATCTACAAATAAAATTTTGACATACAAAAAAGCTACTCAAAGTTGCTTTATTTGGACCAAATTGATGCATATTTCCAGGAGCAGGCTTTACACATTCTTTTTGTTAATTAATTATGAAGCGTGTAAGGATCTAACAAAAACTGTTTGTTCAGTGCATGCTTGCACAGTGTTATAATTGTCCTGGTAAAAAACCTTTTGCCACCTACTTGTATAATATTTTTGGAGAATATGAAGATGATTTTGAGATAAACTACAAGCAATGGATAACTACAGATTATGCAGCACTATTGGGTTTGACTTTCAACATTTTTTTAACTAATAATATCTTGCTTTTAAAATGCTACAAGCTCATTTTTTAATTGCTACTCTAAACCACAATACCTCAATCAAATAAACAAAATGTGGATCAATTAAGCATTGTAATGCTTAATTGATCCATATTTTGTTTATTTGATTGGCAACATTGCATAAAATTATGCTTTTGTAGTCCAGGAGGACACGCCTATGTGGTTGAAGTGGTTAGTGCAGAATTTCTGAAGCAGAGCGCCGTGGTTCAAATACTAACATAGAAACCTTTTTTTTAAAAAACTTTTTGATTTTTATAAAAAAAAAATAAAACACTTTTGAAATTTTATAAATATTTTATAACTTATAAAAATATTATACACAATAACAAACAAAAGGAAGACAATTTTTAAAAATGTTTAAAACATTTTTTTTTTTAATCTTTTTTTTATTTTTTAAATAACAAAATTAAACATTTTTTAGGTTTTACAGATATTATATACATTACATATATAAAGACATTATATGCTATATAAAATAGAGAGAATTTTTAAAAAAGCATAAAACTTCTTAAAACATCAAAAGATCGAGAGAAATTTTTGCATATATATCATGATAGAGATACTGATGTTATTAATGTACTCAGGTAATTACTTTACATAAGCTGCAGATGGTCTGAAAAAAGATTATGATAAGATAATTATGTTAATCCAAAAGGTGTTTCTGTGGAAGCAAAAAAAAAAAAAAAAAGCCTGTATGCAGAAAAATTTTATGTTTACAGCCAGAGATAATAAAACTTGAAAATTTATTGTGTTAAAAAGGTGGATTTGAACGCTCACAAAACAACAACAACAACATAACATTAAACCATTGGTCTATCGAATTTATGTATGTAATTAAAAATGAACCATTTTAGAAACTCTTATACCGATTGCATTTAATCAACACTTTTCAAACAGTTCTCTAAACAAGTGCAACTTTATTGCATTGCATCATAACATGATGCAACAATGAACAAATATGTTATAAGCAAATGCAAAAAATCCGCTTATATAACACTTTATAAAGGATCCTGTGTAATATTTTTGCTTTTGTTTTGTTTTGAATTTTTGTATTTACTTTATTACATTTAAAAAAGTTGACAAGATTGAAAAAATACAAATATATTGTCTTATCCAAGTGGAAAATTTGAAACTTCAAATTTAGATCTGCCTCTCTCTTGATAATTTCTGACTGCTAAAATTGCATCATCTTCTTAGTTCCACCATTTGTATAGTGTTACGTACAAACATCTGTAAGTCTAAACACCTTAAGTGTGTTGAGTTAGCAGGTGGCAGGTGGTATATGGTGCAATCATGTATAATATCTGTATAATATGAGAAAACTTTTATTTTATTTTAACAACTAGAAGTCTTTTTTATTACATATATATATATAACCTTTAGCTTTATCTTCCAGTAACTTCCAACTTTAATAGTGGTTGCTTGCAGCCTTGTTGGAAGTGAAGTTGTTAAAAAAAAAAAAAATATATATATATATATATATGTATATATATATATATATATATATATATATATATATATATATATATATATATATATATATATATATATATATATATATATATATATATAAGCAATATTGAAAAAAATTTCAAAATTTTTTACACTAAAGGGAAGCCTTAAACCCCCCAAAACAACACTGATGCAGCACACTAAACCACTGAGCTATCAATTATATGTATTTAGGAGAAAAATAACCCTAAATATGAATCTCTTATAAGCTCTTCGTATGCGAGAATGATGCAAATGCTACTTTTGAAGTGAGAACTTAAAGTTGCTTGTGCAAATGCTAAATGTAATCTTTACAACTATAAATGCTTTTAAACAAACATTAACAAATGTACATAAACAATGTTCATTTAAAAATTTTAAAACCCAATTTTATAAAGGAAAAAAATTATGAAAAAAATATTATGTTAAATATTTCTGTTTTTTACCTTCCGGATTTTTTAAAAGTGATTTAATTTTTGAAAGATTTAATAAGTGATGAATAGTGATGATTGTTTTTTTGAAAAAAATTGATAAAAAATAACTACTATTAAAATTCGAAAAAATTATTTTAAATAAAAAAAAAAAAAAAAATTTTGAATTTAATTGAAAGTTAAATAAAATTTTGCAATTATTACCAAATTTAACTGAAAGCCAAACTTCTATTTCAAATTTGGCACGGAAGTTGAAGCCTAAGTCAAATTGACCTTTCAGTAAACTTCATAATCCAAACTTTAACAAATATTTGTCAGTCCTTAGTTAGCATTACATTAACTGATTATATTATGGATGACACAATAGTGTCCTAAACTGAAATACACTCTGAAGCTGTTGTTATTCAAGGCTCCCTTCTCAATATTCCATTTCTATGGTTTCTCTGCAGAAAACATGTTCTAGAGGTACACATCTCCCACTTTATAAAGGATTTGACTAAGGGAGAAAACAAAGCGTCAAGGAATGGGCTATATGTCAAATACCATAAAGTTTGGTTTTCAGTCATAGAGGAGGTGGACAAGGAATGAAAAACCTAAACTACTAGCCATTTCTGACTCCACTGAGTTTTAGGAGCAGGTAGGTCTAGAAAATTGGATCCTGTTAAAAAATTCCAGATGCTTGTCATGGTGAAGTAAAGCAGTGGAGGAAAGAAAAGACCCTAAAGATCTTAGTTGCATATAAAAAAAAATTTAAATCTTTGACTTTGAGCAACATACATCTTATTCAGGAATTTTAGGTGGATACATGTCTGACATAATACAACAAAACTTAATGTCGACAGCCAACAACCTGAAGAAATTTAAAATTTCTTTCCATAAACCAAATAAAAAGTTTGCAATTTTATCTCTGAAATATGTATTTTTTGACAAATAAAAACTTCCTGAAATAGAATCAACAGATAAAAAAAATAATCTAACTAAAGAATAGTTATAGAAACAACATGCACTCTGTAGCTTTGTTTAGAAGAAAATAAATAGTTATAAAACATGTAATTCTCTAAGCATATGCTTGCTTATGCATACTTTACTATTTAATATTATTTAATATTAAATATTTACTAAAATATAAATAATATTTACTATCGATATAAGTTATAAAATGAAATAATTTACTAACAATATTTAATACTAATTAAAACTTCTTTAGGAAATGTGTGGAATTTTAGTTTTTAGCCAAAAAATAGAATTTTACATACAGCTGAAATCAAAGTTAGAAATAGTATTTTTATATATATTTGTAATCAGGAGATATAACAGAATGGAAATAAATTGTGAGCACATTGAAAGTTTTAAAAAACTTAAATTTAAAACCTTAATGCATACAAAAATAAATACATACACACATATATATATATATATATATACATATATATATATATATATATATATATATATATATATATATATATATATATATATATGCATACATACATACCGGCATACATACATACATACATACATACATACATATATACATACATACATACATACATACATACATACATACATACATACATACATACATACATACATACATACATACATACATACATACATACATACATACATACATACATACATATACACTGCTGGCCAAAAGACATGATTTTGCATTAAAATACAAAAAATTATATATATTCTAGTAAATCAATTGAAATACTTTTATAAAAAAACCCAATATCATTTTACAAAACTCTATATTTGAAGTTTGAATGAAATGATAAATGATAAATACAATACATGCGTACTTAGTAAAATGGTTATTTTACATAGATAGGCTGTCTGAATTTGTTTATTAACATTACTTTTATCATGCATATCACTTAAGAAATTAATGTAAATATGATTTACTATGATGATTTGAACATATATTCATTCAGTTTTCGTCAGTTATAGTCAAATTAAAAAATTTATGAGAAAAAGTTAATTAAATACAATAATATGAGTTTAAATCTTGTTTTTAATATTAAATGGTTTTGAAAGGTTAAAAAACACCATTTTATATTAATATTTATATTATCATTAATATCTATAATTAATATTATTATTAAAATTGTTATTACTATTTGCTAGTCTTTAAAAAATATGGCAGCATAAAAAATATACCACTTAGTCAAATTTGTAATCATGAGATAAATCCTGAAAACAAGAACTAGATATTTATAACATAGATATACATTGTTATAAATATTGATAAAATATTTATAACATAAATATACATTGTTATAAATATTGATAAAATATTTATAACAAAGCGTAAGATTACAACTAAAGCATTTATTTTTTCGTTTGTTTTAAATTTCGACACCAATTCAAAATATGTTATTGTTACATGGGGATTATTGTTATCTAAATTTTAGATAAAATGTTTTATCTAAAATTGAAATAATGCATTTAAATATATACCATCAAACTCCTTCCATGATAATTTAGGTTTTTAAATGCATATAAAATAGTATTTACATTTTATTAAAAACAAAGTTTTTTTTTTATTGAGAAACTTGGGTCAAGTTTTTGCCAGCACATTTAATAGTTGTATGAGACAAGCCTATATTTATATATTTTTAAATGGTGTAAGATATTCTCAGTGAGTACTTTCAAAAATAGTTATCATTTAATACTTGTTAATAAAACTGCTTGGATATATACTTACCATTAGAGTAGTTAAAAACACATGTTTGACGAAATGTGCCAGTTAATAACGATGTTCCTATAATTGCATAAATTACAATAACAAATCCAATAAGTAAAGATATCTCCATTAATGATCCCATTGACTTTAAAATAGCACTCATGACAAGTTGTAAACCTTAATAAAAAACCATATTTTATAAAAAGATGTTTAAAAAATTTTTAAAAACCGTTTAAAAAAAATAAAATACTACAGTTTTTATGAAATTTAATTTAAAATATATATATATTTTTTGAACTGCTATTCAAAAAAAATACTGTTTTAGATTATATTTGGAATATTAGAAAACCGTCAAATATTCAAGGAACAGTTGAACTAAATATATTTTTTATTCAAACATTTTTTTAATCCAGTGTCATTTTATTATAGAGATAAAACCTAGAAGTGTTTTAGGAAAATTTTTAAAAAAAAGTAACTTTTACCCCAGTCTAATAAACATAAACAAGTTAGTGTATGCTGCATTTTGAATTCCATAAACATATAAACATGAGAAATAAAGAAAGCCTACTGTGACAGTAAAACTATTTGATGATTTATGTTAAAAACACCATTATATTATTAATATCAAATTAGATAATCTATGTTATAAATACTAAATTAAATAATTTATGTTATTAATACTAAATTAAATAATTTTATTTTCCATTCTAATTTATCAAGTGATTTAGTCTATATAATTTAACTGTGTACAATCACAAAAACATTTAACTTATACAATACTTTTATAATAAAATAACTACTTTACTCTCTAGTGCACATAATTGAGTTTTATTTAAAAAAGGAAACTTTGGACTTGGTATATTTGCTTATTATAATAGAATAAACTTTACTATTATTATTATTATTATTATAAACTTTGTTTACTTTATTTACTTAACTTTATGAAGTAAATAAAACTAAAGACTACAAATTATTCAGATAACATATACATCACAGTTTTACAATAGATTCTGTTTTTCTTCCTGCTTGAAAATGTTTGGTTGAGTCTAACAACCTTTTGACTTAGTGTCCCAGATTTTGGTTCTCTCATAACAACAAAAAAGTTGGAAGCATAAAAAATTATGCCAAGAGCAACATACATCTTATTCAGGAATTTTAGGTGGATACAAGTCTGACATTATACAACTTTATGAAGTAAAGATAACTGAAGACTAAAAATTATTTCGCGTAAGTAACTTTCGTTGTCGTAGAATGTCATTGTTTATAAAATGAAAACAATTTTTTAATAACCTTTGTTATAAAAATGCACACTTAAACAGTTTATATATTATAAATTAAAAAAATATATACACCTGCCAATTATACTTTAAAAAAAAAAACATTATCAGTACTTTATTTAAAAGCGTTTTGCTTATATAAAAATATTTGTTAAAAGTTTTGATGTAATTTATATATAGATTTATATATAGATTATATATATATATATATATATATATATATATATATATATATATATATATATACATACATACATACATACATACATATATACATATACATATAATATGAGTTAATCATAAGATTGTTGGAAACAATAAGATATAACATCATTGAATATATAAATATTTACATATGAGTTTTTTTTATGTTATGCATTAAAAGAGCACCTATTTAAAGACTAATAAACATGCACATTTTATTTTTTATTGAACACATATTAATTACTTATTGAACATTTTAATTGAACATATCAGATCTTTTAATTTTTGAGCATTTGATTTAGATATTGATGGTAGATTTAAAAAAAATATATAGAAAAGCTAAAATGGCTTTAAAAGAACAAATGTTCTTAAAAACTATGTTTCTATTTTGATAAAGTTGTAACTTGCAAATTGAGGAAAAAGTACTTAACTGAATTTTGCAATTAACTAACTATATAATTGTTTTAACTTAAGAATCTTATAAATTTTTGTATACAAGTTAATGAAAAAACTACTAATGTAAAGAGAGATATTCAGAAAATAACTACAAAAAACTTATACGATTTACTACAAAAACTTGTAACTACAAAAAACTTATACGATTATAAAAGTGCTTATTTTTGTTATTCTGAAAATCAAGGAAATTAAAATTCTGAAAATAAAAAAAAAATTTTGTCTTTTAGGATGTTTTAGTTTTTAAATGATTAAATAAATTCCTAAATTAAAAATCTAACCAATTAACAGTAACACAATATTGATAGACTAAAGTGTCCAACAAGTCTTTTGTTATGCAATCTTGTTACATAATCTTATGATGGTTATTGGAGAAAAATGTACTTTGGCAATTATTTTGGAGCCTTTAAATAATTAACTTTAAATAATATTTCATGAAAACTCAACTTTTTTATTAATTTTAAAAAACTTGAATTTTTTTTTAAACATAACTGATTTTACTTACTTGGTACTCCAGAAACAAGTTTAAGAGGTCTTAAAACTTTAGCAGCTTTTATAAACTTCAAATTTCCTCCATCTTTAAGCCCAACATAAGGAAGAATACTATAATTAAAAACATTTGATAAATTGAAAATTTATCAAAATATATCATGTTATATTAATAAAAATAGCTAAAGATGAGGTCTTTAGTATGAAATCATCAGTTTCACTTTGTGTGAATATTATATACACAAACACAGAGACAATTGGTTATAATTAATTGGTTAAATAATAATACTAACAAACCTACTTGCAATCAAGTTCTCAGATGTATCTTTCAACCTAAAAAAGATCTGTTCCAACCTTTTAAAAAACCAAATGGAAAGCTATGTTACATCCACATTAATTCCAACCACCCTCCTCAAATCCTTAAACAAATTCCAACCTCCATTAGCAATAGATTATCACAAAATTCTTCAAATGAAAATACGTTTATCTTATCTATACTAGAATACAAAGAGGAGCTAAGAAGAAATGGTTTCACTGATTTTCATTTAAGATTTAATCTCAAAAAAAAGGACAAACCCCCAAAAAATATGTGTAATATGGTTCAATCCCCATTACAGTAAAAGGGTTTCTACAGATATTGGACATATCTTCCTAAAATTAATTGACAAATATTTTCCAATATTCCATCTCCTAAACAAGTTATTCAATCAAAACACAAATAAATTGATAAAAATCCATAACAAAAAAATTTTATCTAAAAATTCAGATGAACAACGACCATGCAATTGCATAAAGAAACAAAACTGCCTAATGAAAGTAAAATGAAAAACTTCAAATAATATTTATAAATGTATAGTGTCGACCCCTAACATTCCAGAAAAAGTATATAAAAGCTTATCAGAAGAAAAATGGAAGGAACGATGGGTTAACCACAAGTACTACTTAACAAATAAAAAACTGAAAAATTCAACCACACTTTCCAAATAAAAGAAATATCCAACAATAAATTGTCAATAATTTAAATTATTCCCACTTATGAATATGTCAATATATATATATGGGAATAATGTCACAAAAAAGTACTTACTCTACGCCTCTACGAAAAACTTAATAATTTCATACAAAGGTACTCCACAATAGTTAATTATAAACTTTGAAATAATTTCAAAGTGTTGTCAAAAAAACAAGTTTTTGCTTGACAACTACAAACTTAAAGATAAGGAAACCAAAACATTGAAACAAACAATAAAAGGCTTTGTAACTGTATCTGTATGTTAGTTTTGTATAATAAGAACAAAATATTTAAACAAAATAACATAATGCATTTTACCCAATGATTGCTAACGTATGAAACTTTTAGTAGCAAACATTATATAGTTATTTTTACTTCTTTTACTTATCTCGTCAAACAAATATATATAAATATTATATATATATATATATATATATATATATATATATATATATATATATATATATATATATATATGTATATATATATATATATATATAATATTTATATATATATAACATTTATATATATATATATGTATATATATATATATATATATATATATATATATATATATATATATATATATATACATATATATATATATATATATATATATATATTAGAGTTGGAAGTATATGTATATATATATATATATATATATATATATATATATATATATATATATATATATATATATATGTATGTATATATATTAGAGTTGGAAGTATATGTATATATATATATATATAAATATATATATATATATATATATATATATATATATATATATATATATATATATATATATATATATATATATATATATATATAAACTTGAAATATGATTTTTAACCAATATAAAGCAAAAGATAGTCAAGCCAGTAAACAAAAGTAAATCTTTTTTTCTCAAAATATTTATTACTAAAATTATTTTTTTTATTTTTCCAAAAAATACACTAATACAAAGTATTTTTATATAATTAATTAAACTTTAAGCACTAGAGGCCTTTTAAAAAATCATCAGTAGTGCTGTTATGGTATTATAGCAAAATTTTTGTATACAAAATAAATTTAATTGCATATTGTTGCTATGAGTAACTATTTTGATAAATTCAATTCTAATAATACACAGGAAGTAGCAATCAAAAATATCATGTTTTTGTTTGTGCAGATGCTTTTCGTATGATAACAAAAAACTTTCATTGTCAAGCTCAAGGAAAACAAAAAGTTGAAAAAAAGGTTCAATTACATTTTGGTGGGAGCGTTGACAGGTATAAACGTGGTTGTCAAATCTATAAGTTGATAGGCCAGTTCTGCAACTAGAAATATGTACATTTATTTGTAATCTTAAATTGTTAGTTTTGCCAGTATATGTGGCTTGTTTTTTGCATGCCAAACATTTAAGGTAATAAATTACATTTTTGCTGTTGCATGTGATGTGACTTTTTATTTTCCAGATAGTACCATTAGAAGTTTCAAACTCATCTACTTTTTGAAGGTAGAGTTTGCATATTTTACATCGAATGTCTTAACACTTAAATATGCCAATCTTCTTATTATTTGCTTCAAATTTTGAACAAGTAAGTCTTCTTAATAAGTTAGGAGGTTGGGAGGTTGTTTAAAAGCTAATACTGGATGAATATTAGAAAAAACATTTTTGATTCGTTCATTCTGAGATACTTTGAGTAAAAGGTTAGTTTCTGTTATTAAAGGTTGACAATTGAGATTACTATAAAATGTTGTCACTAAAGGAAATATTTCTTTAGACTTCTTTTGTGACGCTGGTCCTTGTAGTTTTGCGTTATGGAATGCTTTATCTATAATTACATCAGGATATTCACAATCTTTCAACCATGACTTAAGTTCAGCTAGACAAAGTTTCAATTTTGTAATTAGATGCAAAAACAAATATTCTTTTAGCTAAATTATAAGGAATATTCTTTTTGATATGTAATGGATGATGGCTGTTATAGTTTAAGTAATCATGAGTGTTCGTTTCTTTACAATAAATGTATAGTGTCGACCCCTAACATTCCAGAAAAAGGAATCATATTTCAAGTTTATATTGTTACAACGTCAACAGAAAACAAATTTTTAGATTATGTAGATGAGTTATGTGAAGTTATTTATAAAAAATTAAAAGACAATTTAACTTTGCTTATTAATGAATCAAAACCTTTAATAAAAGAAATTATTGAGTCAATTCTGAAAGAATGCTTACCAAAATCCCTTAAGCAAAATAACAGTTCAAAACACAATATAGAAAAAGAATGTTTGAAGTTTAAAGATCAGCATCAAAGATATTTTATAAAATCACTTGAGAAACATGAGTATATTACAAGCATACCAGATGTACCAACCTCCTTAATGTTTACCATGATTGTTAGAGAACCATTATTTATTCCCAGAAAGTTTAGAAGTGATAACTTTTTTTTCATGTCAAATGAGGAAGAAAATGCAATTAAAAAGTTTGATTTACAACGTCTTAAGTCTGAATGTGAAATCCTTACCATAAGAAAAGATATTTTCCCTACATCATTGAAAAATCTAGACGATGAAGTGTCAAATTTTATTATTAATTGCGCCTCAAGTAATGAACTTCACGAAAAGTTAATTCATCAATATCAAGAATGCAAAGATGAAGATATTGAATGCATCAATAAAAAATGGTTCAAAAAAATGAGTTCTACTAAAATTGCTTTCGAAAAAGATAAAAAGTATTTAAATTCTAAAAAACATTTATCAGACTCCATAAATAATAATAATAATATTGATGTAAGTTCTATTATATCAAATAACGATAGCATCCACCATGACCAAAAAACAAAATCAATACCGTCAAAAAACTGGACAAACCCAAGTACAAAAAAATACAACCTAAGGTCATCAACCTATCCACCAAACACTTGACATCTTCTCAAATATCTCTTCTCACCAAAGGTTCAAAGTTTTGCCTGGCCACAAATGGTAATTTCTAACATATCAATTCAGATACTAAAAATTTTACTAGGAAACTTATACTAAAAGAAAAATTTTATGGTGCTACAAGTAGCGATATTAGTATAATTAAAAATAAATCTAATTATTGTACCAAAACCACTCTGTCAGAATTAAACAAAATTATTTCACAAATTGAACAAACTAAACCTATTTAAGTCCAATATATTGATAACATTACAAAAGAAGAAAGAGCAGCGATTAAAGAAATACAAGAAATAAAAGACATAGTCATTAAAAAAGCTGACAAAGGTAATACTTTAGTTGTAATGGATTCGACATTTTATACTAACAAACTTGTTTATCAAAACCATCTTTTTTCTGTTAATACATATGAAAAAATAAGTACTAAATCCGATAAAATAGTTTTTAGCAATCTTATTAAATTGATAAACAAACATAAATACCTCACGACAAATGAAATAAAATATATCACAAACTTTAAATGGAAATCTAGTAATTTCTATGTGATTCCTAAAATTCACAAATGCCAAGAAATCATTAAAAAGGTAAAAGAGTCCAACTCTTTATTCATTGAAATGAAACCACCAAAAGATCTTACAGGTCAGGGTTGGGATTAAAAAAACCCGCCCAAAAAACCCCGCCCAATAAAACCCAAAAAAACCCGCCTAAAAAAACCCAATAAAACCCTGGAAAATCTGGGTTTTATTGGGTTTTTTTAAAGATATTTAATAAGTTTATGAACTATTATAACCAACTTTAGTATTATAACTATAATATTATTAACTAAAATAATTACTAACTATTATTATTAACTAAATTATTATTAACTATTATTATTAACTATTATAACCAACAATAACAGCTATCAGAGCAGGTTTACTATTATTTGAATCATTATTTGGAAACACATCATTACAATTTTTATTCAAATATTTTTATTGATTGATATTTTTATTACTTTATGTTATTCACCTCTCGAGTTGAATTTAAATGAGTAGTGACCAGAGAAGCCAACACAACAGTTGAGGAGGCTACCTTGTTGTGGTTACAACCCTCTCTCAACTCTTTAACTCCTAAACACGAATCTAAACAAGGCCGCTGCGCAGAGGAACAAGTTTGTTCATTTGAATTTCAAGTT